TAAAATCAAATAATGAATTTACTGCCAAAGTTGCCAATTGGTCTGAAAATTTAAATTAAACCAATCGCTGGCATGCTCTAATAAACGGCAAGAAATCGGTAATTGTCACAAAAATATTTTTCAATGTTGCTATACCCCTAATTTTAAAAAGACAAATACAAACAATTAATCCAGATCGCTCACATAAAATTGTTGGAAACATACGAGTATGAATTATAATTATGAACTTAAAACCAAACCTCAATCCACAAAATTAACCAGGGCAAATCGTAACTCCCCTAAGTAAACTAACCAGCAGCAGTGCTCTAAACTTCCAGCAGTTCTCACCACGCACTTGCTTCTCGTCAATAAATTCTAATATGCCATATATCAAAAGTTGAAAACTTTCCGCTCAAGGAAATTACTCAACTTATCTTCAGTTGGATCGCAGTGGAGATAGGTCCAGTACATCCAATTGATAACACAACAGATTATATTTTTAATTGTCAAACCGCTCGATTCCATACAGGATGTCCCAGAATGGGTGAATAAAACTGATAGGGGAGGTAGCTCTACTAATGAACTATCCCTAAAAATTATGAAAAATAATTTATGGGTTCGGATTTTTTTTAATAATGTGCTCAACTCGAAATCTAGTCATTATTTTCAAAAGTTTGTTTACAGATAAACTAATATTAGTAAGAAAAAAGTACAAATAAACTCCAAACGCAGCAATTATAGCCAGATACTTAGGCAAAGCTGATTTATTTTCACTTTTTCAACAGCAGTTTGATTCACCCATTCTGGGACATCCTGTATATCCATATCCATAAGATGTCGGTCTAAAAACGTAGCTTAGGCAGGCTTTGCACTAGGTGGATCTACGTTTACTACTACTACGTACTTTAATAAAGGTTGCGGGAAGAACCTGGATGTGGATAGCGCAGGCAGGTCGTTGTGGAAAGCCTTTGTCCAACAGTCATTTTCTTGAATCGGAAAATGTACCTACTATGGGTTATGTTAGATTTCATTTGACATTTAAGTAAATTAATTATAGTTAAAGATTTCTTCTCAAAAATGGAAACTAAGCCTGTATTTGATAAGATCTAAGGTAGAGCTTACTGAAAGACTGAAACAGTAAATACTCGTATGTTATTATTGCCTCTACTGCAGTGTCCTCCACTGGGGCTGGACCCAACGGCGTGGTTATAGAGGAAATTGAAAGATTGTAAAACATTGTTAATGGACCAGCTGCACTTCTATATCCGTCTTTGAATTTAAGAGCTAAGTTTCAAAGAGCAGCGGATAGTGATTCAAATACAGATTATCTGATCTGATGATGATTTGATTGAATAAATAAAGACTTTACGATATACAAAACGTTAGTGTATCTTTCAATCTTTTTTGAAAAACTTTTGCGCATAATCATTGAACAGGTTACAAAAGGCAAAGTCTCTCACTTTTCTCTTCTTTCGCTTTCCCCTTACAAACAATGTATTATAACAAAACAAACTATTTAGTGGACCTCCTACTAGGTGGACCGACGATCTCGTAAAGGTCGCGGGAAGAGCCTGGATGCGGGCAGCGCAGGACCGTGCATTGTGGAAAGCCTTGGAGGAGGCCTTTGTCCAGCAGTGGACGTCATTTGGCTGAAACGAACGAACGAAACTATTTAGAGCAATTTATCAAACATTAGCAGGAAAATTAAAAACTGAAACACGTTTTAAATTCCCATAACAATTCTGGTTAAATTAGAGCACAAGTGTTGATTACAAAACGCATTTTCATTCCCCAGTTCCACGAGCAGAAGCGCGCCAGAATAAATTAATTCTGAACTTTGAACGTTGCATATAATATTTCATTTGCATTTTAAATGTTTAGTGTAACTCAGGCTTACAACTTTATCATTACCCGGCCGTTTTATATTACCTTTGTCTGAGTTAGTTTTGAGGCATATCGCTGGAGAATATGAATGCATGCAAAACTAGTATGAATTTGAAATAATACACTGCCTATTTCGATATTGAACTTTCTGATATCCATCACTGAAATTATTCTTTTGTAAGTATCAGTCACATGCAACATCTTTTGAGAGGCAAGGCAAGTGTCTTTCTGAGTATATGAGAAATATTTCTACAAGTGGGTTTCTCAGAAGCTAGATTTTGTGTATTTAATGTTAGCTTTATACTCTCTAAACATTAAATGCCTTTTACTCGCTTTAATTTGTCTGATGTTATCAAACAACGTTTCCTTTTCCTCCATTACTTTAACACTCTACTAGAAATGCGTTTTTTACTCGAATAAACGCTCTGCAAAGTTTGCTGAAAACTAGCAGCCGATTGCTACAAGTATGTACTTGGAATGTGATTTCAACTCGCAATAAAAATATTTTGCACATGAATAAACAATATAAATAACCCTCCTTTTGGCGCAGTCGGGTAAAACAGACTTATATCTAAGGCAGTCTCAACCGTAACCGGCTAAAATTACAGGTTTGAATATATCTAAAGAAAACTTCAAAGAATATAGTAATCAATTCTTAAATGTAATCAGTTAAAGTTAGCCTTGGAAGACGATACCTAGCTCGCATAAATATTTTTATAAGTATGTATTATTTTAAAGTCTGTAAACCTTTAAAAAAGAGACTGGCAATAGTGACTGAGTTTCTTGCGCTGCTTCTTCTCAGCACTGGCCCATTTATTGTCCTGAAGAAGTGGAAGGGTTAATACTGGTACGTATAAAAGTGCTAAAAGCCTACTTGCATAAATAAATGAGTTTTATGATGTATGATAATTTAAAACGTCGCTTTAGTTTCTTTAACCCGCAGTTTATTAAGAAAATAAATCTACCCGTTTTCAGAACATGATCTTTTCATCGAAATAAGGAAACAGTAAACACATTCACTTTATGACGGCCATTATCGGGAGTGTTCGATTTACTTCCGATTCAATCTCGGCCATTTTGGGCCGTCTTCGAAATACTTCGAATGTATGAAAACTATCAATGTGATTGCTGCTGTCTGTTGGCGATGAAAGGTTGTTTGTGTATTGAATTAGTTATTTAGTTCCCTTTAAGATGATATTATGTTCGTTTCTTGCTATTAATAGTGCTTGAAAATAGGCGTTTTAAAATGAAAATCACCAAGATTCAATATCTTGATAACTTTGCCTAACTTTGCATTCAAAACAATTAGGTGTAAGCAACTTTGTTGTATCGAAATGTGCTCGTATACAAATGGGTGCATGCTACATTCCTATATTGTCAAAGCTCATGAAAACTATTCCAATTTTTTAAGAACCCTACACTGAACTTGTTACTCAAGTATACATACGAGTAAATTGCCAAACATTATTTTTTTAGAAAGAAAGAAAGAAAACCATTTATTTGGTTCCAACTTAAAATATAACCCACAAATAACAAAAAACAAGTACAAGTTAGAACCAAAATTGGCCACCGCTCAGCATGTGTCATGCTCTGGAGTGGTAACTGGTGGTGATTTTAAATATGTTTTATTTGAAATTATTATCATTTCATATGCATATACGGATGCAGTGAAGTTCAAACATGTCTTGAATATGAAAACGCAGCCATTTGTGTCAAGTGCGGAATGCTGCGCGATAATGCGCTACGAAAATACTCGTAGCAGCTCGTAGTATGGAAAGCTACGGCGCGCTACGATGATGGCGGAGCTTTTACAAAATGATAGCAATAAGGTTTATGCGAGAATTATTGGGTAATATGAAATATTTTATTCGTTTTATTTCCTGGAATATACATTTCATTTACTCTAAAGGCAATAAAATATACGATACAAAATTCCAAATCAACATGGAGACGCCAAATTGCATCAAACTTTTTCAGTCGATTGATCTTGTAACTATTTAGTTTAGACAAGTCTTTATTTAGTTCATTTTATTGCTGAGAACACAAGATCATCGTAATCATTTAAAAAAACACTGCCCTAAAAACAAAACAAACAGGCTGGGTTGCACCATCTTACTATAACTTTCACAAACGTCAAAAATCTGTAGAACTCCATACAAAAATACCGGTTATCGTTAAAGTAACGCTTAAAGTTAGGTGGTGGAACAGCCTAAAAGTATCATGAAGTGGTAACTTGATCACTCTATCGCTAGTTATTAAAATAAGTAGTAAAATATTTGTATACTCTCCTAAAACAATTGTCCTAAAAACTTTTCGTTTTACAAAACTACTTATTGCTAAACTACAGAGACATTGTAATGAGAAAACTTGGAACTCTTCACCGGTTCCAGTATGTAAAATAAAATGTTATTAGCAAAAGTTGCCTTTACTTTGCAAAAGGTTTTACTGATTAGATTCTTGGGATACAATATTATTTTTCAATATGCTTTCATTAGATTAAAATTCTAGTTTTCAATGTGAATATTTGTATGATAAAATGTCACTGGGTCCACACGCATGCGCTGTGTTTTCGCTCTCATAAATTACTAAAAACATATTTGCCAGAGGAAAACAATTTACCCGTATTCAGGGAAGTATTACCATGTTACCCTATATTTTTAGTGAACACAGCTATAGACAGGCAAACTTCAGAAAATGTTTGTCTTGTTTCAAGCCATAGATTTTAAAAAGACTGTTGAATAAAAATAGTTGCATTAGGTACCTATATAAAATTAAACAAGAATTTATTATAGTAGGAAAACTTCTAGAGTGTGACATTAATTCGATGAACTTTTTTTGCATCTCTTGCTTAAACAGTATAAAATTAAATAATTTCAATGCGATTCAAACTTTCAGCAAAACCAACAAAAATATAAAATAAACCATAAATCGCACCACCATTAGAACTCGTATGTTAACATCCTATTTTTCTCTGCACCATATCTAAAGATAAGGGTAATTTGTACCCCATTGGCAACACTCCCGGCAATCTTATCACGCCGGCTCTACCCAGTGCCGACCGCGACGTCACAGCGAGTGCACGCGAGCGCTCGCCGAATCCGCGAATTCGCGAGCTTAAAGTTTTCCCTGAAGATTTGTGATGTTGTGACACTCCAGTGTGTGATTATAATGTGATTTTCGAATGGGAAATTTGGAATAGTTGTGAAAATGGTAGTTCTACTGTTGCTGAGCATGTTTTGTGGTAAGTTGTTGAGATTTTTGTTACTTATAAAGTTATGCAGATGTTTTTTAGACGCGTCAAGTTTTCACAAAGTGAAATGATGTAACAACTTAAAATTGTATGTACCATCGTTTGCAGATAAACAAGATGTTCATTCACAAATATTCTTTAAACTTTGAATGTATTTCTAACACAATACATTACAAATCAAGTCATAGGAAATTTGTGTAAACCTCACGTATACTAAACAGAAACTACACGGAAACCGACGCTCCTTTAATATTGGCTTAGATGTACGTGATATAGCGCTAATCTGATAAGCCGTAAGGCGGTTGTTTACCCACAAATAATAGAAACTCAGGCATTGATGCTGATGCAATGGCTGCTAGTAATAACAAAATACCTTCCTACGTATGTCGCTTAGATTTCAAGTGAAGGAAGAATAGACGGATTGACTTTTGAAATGGTTGAAACCATTATGTAAATGTCTCTACCGACGATTAGGCATTTCGCTGGTTGACTATGTATTTTAGTAACTTTGGTAGAGCGGCTTATGTACTTCTATCTACAATATAGAAAAACAATATAAACAAAACTATAATATAATAGTACGAATTAAAATTACAATACTCTTTTAAAGTTTTATCAGAGGCAGATCGAGCGCTAATTATTGTAACGTGAGCTTGGTCAGAATTTAAATACTTTATTCGTTATTTATCCGTTAAACGTCCATTCGTACCATCAACTCAATTCTGAAGGTTTATGTATTATGGCCGGCATTCAATTGGTTAACATCAAACTAGAGTTTATATGATAAAGTTTGACTCACCTGAGTGCACCAAACTTTCACTTCCGCCCATAATACACCGCAAAACTGCTGCTCAGCTGTGTCGAGGGCTGCGTCCTGCAATGATCAATATAATCTTTATTTTGTATATACCTACCTGTTATAAGAGTCAATAAATAAAATAGGAACCACTTGATGACGTCAGAAATTCTCTAGCTAGGCTATCGCACATATTATCTATACTAATATTATAAAGCTGAAGAGTTTGTTTGTTTGTTTGTTTGTTTGTTTGTTTGGTTGAACGCGCTAATCTCAGGAACTACTGGACCGATTTGAATAATTCTTTTTGTGTTAGATAGCCCGTTAGTTCCTGAAGGCTTTAGGCTATATATCATCACGCTAAGACCAATAGGAGCGGAGCACCAATGAAGAATGTTTCAAATCAGTGATTTTTTTCCTTTTGAGAGCTGACGCTGCGTAAACGGTTAAAGTTTCGCAACTATTTGTAAAATAATTAGACTAAATTATTAAAAGTGCCTACCCAAAGTCATTATTCCACGCGGACGAAGTCGCGGGCACAGCTAGTTATTAAAATATGCCTAATACATGAAGCAAAATAAAGTATTTTAACCGACTTCAAAAAAGAAGGAGGTTATAATTATGTTTGACTATATGTATTTTATGTATCTTTCTTATTTTAAGTAGTACAGTATCGCAAATACAATGTTGTTTTTCAGCAAGCCCTGGAATTAATTCTGCATAATATTTCAGTTGTTTGGAAACCACGTATTCTCTTACACTGCATTTTGTTCCATCTTACGTCACAGCATCTAACAGAATACTCCATATCTAGAGTATCTCTAAATGGGTTCCTACTCTACACATGTCCTGGTCACCGGTTATCTTAGATTAATAGAGTCTGTTGGCGACTCTCCAGCAGTCGCTATCTGCACTAAATAAAACGGACGCTATCTGACATTTTTGGAGAGGGATGAAGCTATGCAGAGCCTTATCTGTAGTAATTTCTGTCAGCTTCATGGATATGAAACGGTAGTTAGAATTTTTATGGCATTTTTTAAATATTAATTACAGTGATCCGGGACTCCGCAAATTATGTTCTTAACATAAAAGATTTTCAGTCGCCAGCTCATCAAATTATTTACTATTATTTATCGCATAATTTAACTTATGAAAATCAATATGATTCAAAACAAGGCGCTTAGTTTGAGGTAGGTACCTATCCTTGGTGCGTGAGGAGTACCAGAGGCTTTTTTATCGTTTTCAAGAAACTATATTTTAAATATTGAAAAATAACATTAAAGAACACTTGTGCTAGTTTATCGAAAGGTTGGATACTTAACTCATTGAGGAATTAAATTAAAACTTCAATTTGAAACTTCAAGTTTTATTGTAACCTTCTTCAATGTTCTTTCTGGTTTCACTAATAAATAGTACTTTATGTGAAGAACGCTTAACCTTATCTTAATAAATTATCGACTTATCAAGTAAACACATTCAGCCTTATCTGACTACGTCACATCTCGTTAGTTCCTCCTGAAGGAAAAAATAAGGATTTCTCTTTAGCGAGTTCTAAGTCGCAAATAATGTTCTTAATTGTGTTGTTTTTCTTAAGTCTCATAAAAGTGTCCTCATTTGGTAATCTTGTTTATATGGAGAGCTCTCGTGCTGTCTTCAGACCTTTATACAGGGTGACCCGCTTAGACCCGCCCCGGGGGCATGGGGGGATAAAAGAATGAGTGGATGTTTGACAAAAATACTTGTTTGAGTATATTAATCAATTCCAGGGATGTTGGGCTTGGAATTTGTATACGCGGATTATGCCTGTTTTTTTTTTTCAAATATTGTGTATAAACTTATTTCATAAATATTGTGTTTTATATGCTTTGATGATGGTCATAAGGAATAAAAATGTAGTTAAAGATAGGGTTATTAAAGTTAACCATGTAATTTATCATTCGGGGTTACGGAGCGCCACATAGCACGAAATGTTATAGGATTAAGAAAAAATCATCATCCTTATTAACAATTCAATTTTTTTTGCCTTTTAGAGGAATAAATACATCTCTCTTAATATCTTTGTCCTACCAACGGCTTAAGACTCGATTTTTTCTTTTATTATATGACACACCCTGTATAAATAGAGACAACCACTTGACTTATACATTAAGTCGTGGTCATCTCAGATTAATAGAGTCGCTTGGCCCCACTCCAACGAGCTATCTACCCCGAATGGGGTGGACGGTGTCTTGGCGTTTGTCGCTCTTTCATTCCATTCTCATGGAACAATTGCAGCTCTGTAACTTGAAGTTATTCTTTTACCTCAGCGACCATGACCCAAAGCAAATTAAAATAGGTCACAGTTATTAATTTGAAATAGTTATAATTTATTTTTATACAAGGTATTCTATTGGTAGGCACTAATTCACCATTCTTAAAACAAGTCAAATTGATAACTAATGAGGGTTTTCGCGAATGAAAGATCCGCTAGATGGCGGGAGGTGGATGTGGGGTCTGACTGCTGCGTGATTGGTGGATTTTGACATATCTGACAATATCATGTCAAAAATAGCCAATCATGCAGCATTTGGATTTTTCATTCGCGAAAACCCTCATTAAAAGAAAAAAAGATACAAAACCTTCAACTTATTAGGTAAGTGTAGGTACGTAACTTTGCAAGTATTTTTTAAATACATTACATACCACCACACTAAAAAGCACGTAGGTAATATTCTGTCTCTAATTTCGTATCAAACGTCATATTAGCGTCCCAAACCGCGAGCTTAAACCCTTTACCTGCACTAGTGGTAGATTAATGCTTTCATATTCTAAACTCTATTAAGTCTGCAAATAGGTTAAACTTCACTCAAATATAAAACCTCTACACGTAAGTTTTCTGAAGTTCATCACAAAATATTTCGCTAAGGTCAACTAAAATAGCATGCAAAATAGACTGCACATTTCTCGTATCAAATGTCAAATTAGACCGTAGGTAATGTTCTAAAACGGAAGCTTAAACCATTCCGAGCTGGAACCCCCGCCACAATAGCTTTTATGTCTGAAACGTTGCAGATCCCCACATTATTCTAGATAACGTCTGCTTTATAGACGCTCTGGCAGATGTCCAGGGTAACCTGGATGCCTTTTGTTGCTAGTCTTTAAGGTCCGACTATATTGAAGGTGGTGAACTGGTTAATGCATGGAGAAAAAGATCTTCAGCTAGCATGGAACTTGTTTTAAAATTGACTGTATAAGATGTTTTTGTGATAAAGCATCTTGATAGTCAATATTATAAAGGGCAAAAAACCTAACCCATTTCAAAGTAGCGCCATCGCCGCCATTTTAATATAAAGGAAACCTAGATATCATAATTGCCAAGACGTGTGCTCGCGCTGAGTTAAATTAGACGAGACATTCAAATTACTTTCATATTGAATCGAAAATGGAAGAAATTTCAAATAAATGTCGTTAGCTGGAAGACGTGAACGTAGACTGTGAATAATTATGCTTAATATTAATGCTTCGTATGCTAATGTATCAAAAATACGTTTATTATTTCGTAGCAATACTTTGCCCTTTTAATGGAAATGAAATACGGGACTGATGGCTATCTCAGCATTTTTTAGATTACAAAAAAGATATAACTAGTAGGTAGAGCTGAGTATTCACTAGTTAGAACTAGAAAAAGGTTCTAGTGTGTAGGCCTGAATAGGATTTGCACAAGCACTCTAGCCCGGTGGTCAAGCTCACTTAGATATTTTACCTAGCACTCAATGGCTACAGTGGTCTTTGGTAACCGGCTTAGCTGACGGAGTGCCTACGCGAATTATATTAAATCTCAAGGCATACCTAATGGAAAAAGGCAATGTTTTTTACAAAACGTCTTAAAGCATGTTGCTGTTAAAATCCTACAGTCACATCTTTACCTCGGCTTTAGGTGAATGAACATAAATTAAAGTGACAAATATTTTGTGTTTTTTTTAAACAGTGTGCTCTTCGCCTTTTGGCTTCTTGGTGCAATTGATGTGTTAATTTTGGACGTTGCAAAGATTAAACTGCTATTAACTGACTGTAGAAGCAATGGCTTGCCACGCCATTGGCTGACTGCGCCATTTGCGATTCAATACGAATAAATAAATAAAGATGAATGAACCCAATTCATTTTAATTAGAAGCTTAAGCGAGCTAGCGCATTATTTAACTTATATCCAAATTAA